AAAAAAGAATGCACACAAGTAAATAAAAAACATTAAAAAATGGAAAAGTAGTAGGATTAAATTGGAAAAAGTAAGGAAACAACAGGGTACTTGCAAACAGGTGTGGTAAGAAATCCTACACCACTGCATGAAAGACATGGCTTTACTATAGATATGTGTGGATAATTACAATGCTTTTGGGTAATATTCTTCATGCAGTGGTGTAGGATTCTTACCACACCAGTTTGCAAGTACCCTTTTGTTTCCTTACTTTTTTCCAATTTAATCCTACTACTTTTCCATTTTTAATGTTTTTTATCTATACTTGTTATTATTATTATTTATTGTGTCATAATCACTGCTGATGTTCTAATATTATTTTAGGAATTTAAATACTAATGCCTCTAAGAGTCACAGAGTTAACTTATGTAGTAGTTTTAGGCTCTAAATTAAGTGAAAATGTTCACCCACGAGGTATGTCTTGAATAATTAGGAAACAAAATATTTTTTATCACACTGCACATTCAAAAAGCTCATAGTTTCTAAAACTGAAAATAGCTAATAAAAATAGCATAATTAATTAAAAGGGGACATCAAAAATGCTTTGATTAAAACAAATCAACAACTGATTCTTGTCTGACATAATCAGTAGAACTTGGTACCATGGCTCTTCTTTGTTGATCAACAGTTAGATGTGATTCAGTTACATCTAAAAGAGGATCATCATCTTCATCTTGTTTCTTGAATAACTTCTTAATTAGAGCATCATAACATTTCATATGTGATAACTGCAGGTGAAGATGATAAACAACAATCACAATAAAACTAAAAATAAAAACAGATAAACAAGTATTGTACCAGATCAATACTTTACTCTCATTAGTAAAGGCCAAAGATAAAGAAGCCATGATGCACAAGTTTAATAAGAACCAAACTTCAATAATATTGTTCATTCTTTTTATGTAAACTCCGCCAAAACAATAACCCAATGATAGGACAATAGCTAACACTACCAATAGCATTGACAATAGGAAGTGCTGTGACTGAATGAAACTGTCAACTAAAGTAACTGATAATAGTACTGGTATCCTAGCTGCTAGCAGTAAACCAGGCCAGAACCTATACTCATCTTTCATTGGACCACTGTAAGCATCAATAATAGGCTTAAAATGACTCCAAAATTTTCTGAAAATTTTGAAATTTGAAAGATACTTCTCGTAAAAACGATTAAGTAGAAGGAATAGTGTGTATGGTATGACAAAGAAAACAGACACCAATAGGGTAAATCCAAATAGTAAAGCATGCTTCCCTTTAGCATATTCTACATTAGGATCCTCATACCATAAACTAACTGATCTTACTGACTCATTTGTACATTGAACAGTTACTTCACGCTTGTGTAGTACAATAACAATAGTACGTACTAGTTTAGTGTACGAGAGAAGGAATAGTGTAGATAGAACAGGAACAGCATGAGACCCCATGAGTCTTGATATCTTACCATATCTCCTACACAATTGTATAATGATAATGATAATGATCCACAGGTAGAGAGGGAAAGCAAACTGAAGCCATTGTTTAGCATAACTGTCTATACTATTGTACAAACATATCTCAAACCCAAAGTCTAAGTTAATCCATGATATGACTTGACTCAAGACTGGTAATGCTCCTTTCCTTGAAAAGACTGGCTCGTATAACTTGACAATGTTAGCATATAACAATAGACCATTGAGTGTACCCACTGATACTGTTAAATTGAGAGCAATCAGTAGAACCACAAGTAGTACACCCATCACTGCAA